GCGGAATGATTTTTGGTAGGTTGAAGGGTCTCTGCCGGTGTTTGCTCACTAGATTGGAGCTCAGTGAAAAAAATCCCCCAGTGGTTATAGCTGCCTGTTGTGCCCTGTGAGGCAAAGGGGGAAAGCTGTTCCAAGTGGCTGTCTGTTGACTGTGAACAGCCAGACACAAGGGCTGTTGCAAAAGCCTATCCTATGTGGTTGAGGGAGGAGCATTTTAACAGTCAGCCAGAGTAGCAGTCTGTTCTGACCCATTCTCTGGGCCTGGTGCTATAGAAGTTGTTACGAATGGAGGCAGTGCTTGCTGTACATTTATAAACACGGCCAGTTATGTTCCTGAGGCTATGCATGTGTGCCGCTTGGTGTGCATTTACAGGCCCCGTTTGCTTTGACTCCCGCGGTGCATTCTGCAGTGTGAGTTGTGAGCGAAGCAGGATCGTTTGATTCTCCAAAAATAGAACTTCATGGGCGAAGGGGAGGGGACCGTGCAGAAAATAATATTCAACCCCCCGCCCACCCCAGGCAGTGTTGCACACACAATGTTCATTAATGGGGTGAAAAATTAGAACTAGAAAGGTCTGTTTCAGTAAACAAATGCAGTCCATTGTGGCTAAACCTACCCCAGCGGTGGCTCTTGTGAAGTTGCGGTTTTCCTTGCTGTTCCCTGACATGGAACGGCAGGGGTACTGAGGCATGAAGACGAGGCTTCCTCTTTTGCTTTGCTTTTGTTCCTCTTTGTTTTGCTTCTTACACATCTGGTGCATTATTTCTGCTTTCGTTGTAGCTGACGAACCTTATAACAGAAGGAAGGGAAGACCCTCCTTTGGGGTACCAGGCATACCACTGGCCAGTCAAGCAGCCAGGTTCACAAGAAAAGAATGACTTTTTGTGTAAAGGAGAAATGGGGTAAATATTGAGATTTTGCAAAAAGGAATACTCTGTCTGTCTGCCCCTCTCTCTACATATATATGAGTGTGTCTGTCTTTCTACGAGTCCGTTTGTTCAAGAACTCCTCCCAAACAAATTTGGTATGTAGCTTCCTCTTCTCATTTAAAGCAAGGTCACAGTTTGGTTGTGGATACCCAGTCAGTTACAGGCAGTCCCCGGGTTACGTACAAGATAGGGACTGTAGGTTTGTTCTTAAGTTGAATCTGTATGTAAGTCGGAACTGGCGTCCAGATTCAGCGGCTGCTGAAACTGACCGCCAGTTCTGACTTACATACAGAATCAACTTAAGAACCCCAGGCATCCCCAAGTCAGCTGCTGCCGCAACTGATCAGCAGCTGATTCCAGGAAGCCCGGGGCAGAGCAACTC